TTTCATAAAGTTCCCCCAAAAAGATTACTGAATAAGTCACTTTCTATATCATTAAGTTACTAACAAACAATCATGTATAACTGACCGAAAAAACCGTAAATTCCATCAAACTTATTAAGATGTCAATAAACAGAATCTAAACTAAATTGATACAATGAAAAAGATTAGAGATGGGGGCAAGCCTGATTATAGTAAAAGCCCAATGATTTATATACGCTTAATCCAAACAAGTAGCCCACTAACTTTTTTACACTCCACAGATAAAATAAAACACGATCCTCAGGTTTATTCGTACAATACAGCGAGATAAATCTCAACTTTAATGTTTCGTTTTATTTATTTTTGTCTCAGTCGATGTTATAATACGGTTTTATGTGATTTTGAGAAAGAGATAATGTTTTTATTTTTAAATAAAATATAAATATGAAAATATCATAAAATTTTGAAAAAAAATGATATTAGTACCTAACTAAGTATTTAAATTTTTTTTTTTTTTGCGTTTTTCTTTAATTCATTTTTTTTATTTTTGGTTGAATAATATAATTTTTTCTAAAGTTAATAATTAAGTATTTTGTTAAAACTCAATGTTTTTCCTAATTATATTTTAGATTTTCTGTATTTAAAATGAGATGTTTATCCTCTGTTTGATTATGTTTATCTGCAGTTAGTTACACGAATTCAAACACAAAGCTTTAGTAAGTTGTACTTACACACCATTTACTTATAACCTTGAATTTTAAGTAATATGCATCAATAAACAGTAGTAATGAAAAGGAAGCTCGAAGGAAGTTCAATCAAGACTTGTGGTGCTTGGATTCGATAAATCGGGCAGAAAATATTGGGGTTATCATTTCCGTTTCGGTAAGAAACCATTCCTTGGGTACTCGTTTCAAAAAGCGGTTTTCAACCCAATATGTATAGACCGTTTGTACTTTGTGCGAAAAAAGAAATATAAAAACAGTCGAAAGTTAACTTTAACGTTGTCGGATCGCCTTGAGGTCAAAATGCAAAATAAGCAAAGAGTCGGCATCGTAGTTGTATCAATATCTTGATGGTGAACCCCGCGAGGGTCAGCACCGGTGTGAAGCATGGTCTTTGAACCCACAATGCATGTGTTAAGTGTTAGCCATGTATATGTTGGAGTTGGACCACATGAGCCCATGGCTCATTTGGTTACTTTATGACTTTATTATTTTTAATAATGTAAAATGGAATAAAGTTATTTAATTATCAAAATAATTAGATAATTTGAGGGTACATACGTCAAGTAAATAATAATTAGATAATTTGAGCGTTTACTTCTTAATAGTTCCTTTAAGAGGCAGCATATGAATCATTAAGATGTGAATCTTGTTTGACAAAAAAAAGTCTGTCTCCTAATGATTGTAAAACCCTCTGAATGATTTTGTATCTTGAGCATCCCTTAACCATTAAGTGTCCTGATTTCATTGTAAACAATTACCAAACAATTTTATTTCATTTTGCACTATATCATGAAAGCTTCTTAATCATTCTGCACCAAACCATTCAACAACTGTCAAACAACCCCAATGTCTTATTTTTGAAGATAAAAGGTTTCTATGAAGAAACAAATTAAATTAAATGTTTTTAGATTGTTTATTGTCATAAAGCAAGTAAGAAAACAATGAACTCACCAGGTGAAAGCTGACGTTTTTAGTGTGCATCTCTCAAGGGACGCTATAATGGGTAGCCCGAATGGCAAAGAGAAGATTTAAATATGACCCAAGGCCGCACCATTAGCAATAATTGTTTATGTGAAGTTTGGTTGATAAGTATCGTACGTACCGATGATAAGTTCATGTTATCCATAAATTGATGATCAAATAAATCATTGTCTGTCTTAAGGTTTTAATCTAAATCTTTGGTTGACCTATGATCCTAGACAATGAAAACGGTTGTCGTCGAGGTTGTTTAAACGGTATCAAAATGTGACTTTGCGTTCTTTCTCCATTGACCTGATACACAAACATCAGGATCAATTTTCTTCGATCACAACCTAAAAAAAACATATAAAGAAGTATAAAAAACCCACCTAAGAAACCGACAAACTGCCATCATAAAATAAAAGGAAAGGGGTATAATATATATCAACAGGAGAGAAGAAGATGAAAATTAAGAGCATGGAGATGAATAGTTTGAAGTTAAATATAAAAAAGGTAGAATAAGATGGATAGACTTGATAATAAATTTGAAGTATAACATTCATGTAAAATTACTAAAATACCCGACACACAATGGAAGTTACGTATTTTTTCTTGAAGTATATAATATTTATATACGACAAATGCAACAAAAAAAAACTCAGACACTTCTCACCTTTGGTGAAGTTTGAACCTCTGACTTCCTAGAAGATCAAAAACTACGATACCGCTAAGTCAAAGAGCCTTTAACATATTAAAGATTTTATAAAATACAAAAATCCAAGAAAATTTCTGCAAAGATTTTTAATTTACCATTGTGCCACATCATTGACCGTGGTTATTTGTTTCTATGGTTTACAATTTATTGTTATTTTCGTCCCTGAGTTAATTCATATATTAAAATATAAGGGATCAAAACACTAAAGAATTATACATCATAAGACCAAAATAACAATATATTATAAATTATAAAAATGAAAATAACGATTAATCAGAAACCATAATTTCTAAACCATTAAAATAAAAATCACAATTATTACAAAACACAAGGGATAGAAAACATAATCCACTCTTTTCAGAATTAATGAGGGTCCCAACTTCCAAAGGATAGATACCTTTTAACATAGATTCAAATATTGTCATTGATGGGTCGTTTACCAAACGCTTATTCGAGCAAGTGAATATCAAGTCATTTTATTTTATCGGACGAATATGATAATTACCAAGAATCTTACCCGTTAAGAACAAGACAAAGACAAAGAGTCTTATCCGATAAGTGAGAGCGACGATTCTTACCACGATAAACACTTACGAATAAATACATATCAAATTTTTAGGATAATAGGTTTTTGCTTAGGATCATTAAAGGATATTATTACCCATAGGCTCACAAACCCATCAACCATATTTCTATTAAATAAGTAGAAATGTAAATTTCAAGGCAAAAGTCCGAAACTTGATGAGATAATCAAAAAACAGAAGCCCTTTTATATTCGTTTATTAACATAGGGCTTTGACTCTATACATATATGTCCATAGAAATCTAGAACCAAATCCTACACACACACACACATATATATATATATATATATATATGACTTTTTTTTATTAAAGAATAAAAAATTCAACATTAATTATTATACTGAAACAAAATTAGTTTTATAGAACGTTTAGCTTATTGAAGCATCTTAATATAATATTTAAACTTAGATTTATAGGATTAAACTATAAAGTGTCCTATCTAAAAGCGTTACAATAGATTGTCTAAACGTTATAATATAATACTTGTCACATTAGTTGATAAGTTAGCAACTAAGTTAGTTGTTGTTTGATAACCCAGTCATTTTTGGTAAAAACTATGATAAACTAGATAATGAGTTCCAGTGACAATGGAAGTTATGATGAGAAGAGTAAGAAATGACTCACTTTTGGATCAATCATAATTGAATATCAACACTAATTCGGTGCATCGAGATGCAACGGATCAACTCCTGTGATGACCGTAATTCATGGTGGGGTGAGATTAAAAATGATCACGACCTCAAGGGTAGGGGTGTAAATCGATCGAGCTTTTAAAGAGCTATAGTTCGAACTCATTTATCTTGAGCTTTGGTCAATCTCGAACACAAAATAAAGATCGCTTAACTTAACGACTCGAGCTCCATAACACTGATGTTTGACTCGACTTGTTCGAAAGCTCGATTAAACTTTACAAGTCGAGTCGAGGCAAACCATTCGAGCATACACTTTTTCGATTCAAACATATTTATATATTTACAAATTATAAAATCAAAATATAAAAATCATCGAATTTGAGTAAATAACGACTTAACTGATCTCGAATTCGAGCTCATAAACGAGCATCAAACAATGAAAAATTATTCGAACTCGAGCTTGATTTTGAAAAAGTTAATCGAGCTCGAACCTGATATTTTTTCGAGCCAAGCTCGAATAACTTGCTACTCGAATTGACTCGGCTTGTTTACACACTAATCAAAAGGTCCAGATCCCTTCTTACGATTTCACCATAACTTTCATTCTCACACGATCCTTCTGTCATTAGATAACAATATAAATTATCCAAAAATACATGTTAAGAAACTAACTTGAAAAATAAAAATAATAGCTAAAATAAAATAAAAAAACTTTAAAGCTTATTGAAACGTTACTTCAAATAGTATTTGAATCAAAACAACTAGCTTATAAACTTCTTTACCGTTCAAACCTCAAAAAATAAACTAATTTGTAATTTTCAACATGATATTTATATAATTTTAGTCCCGGCTATTTTAGTCATTTCACAATCATCTCTTTTTATCTTGAAACCAGATGGCATAAATGGTGCGAGTCAAGCTCGAGTATCTATATATCGACTCAAACTCGAATTCGGCTCGAAAACTCGCGAGTAGTTAAAAACTAAACTCGATTTTGAATTTTTAAACTCGAACTCGTTTAAAGCTTGAATCAAGCTCGAACTCCAACTCGAATCAGACTCAAACTCCAACTCGAATCAAGCTCGAACAAAGATTATCCATTGAAATTTATGCAATTTTAAGGTCTTCTCTTATAAATTGTTAACCGAGTTTATCTCGAATAACTCATAAGTTGTCTCATGTCGTTTACAACTGTATTTGAAACTACTATTTTTCCACTTTGTTTTCTTTGAAACCACCAAAAGAAAAAGCAAAGAGAAAAGCATTATTACTGTTACACCATGAAAAGAAAGAAAGCCCACACGCGGCCCAGAAAGAGGTCGACCAGGCATAATAACATTCTTCACGCCTATATATACACCTCCTTTGTCTCTATATCCCTCCACACCACCACCGCTACCACCGCCATGGCTTCCTCTTCCCTCATCACCACCCTCTCTCTCCTCCTCCTCCTCCCACTCTCCCACGCCACCATGATCCTCACAGTCGTCAACAACTGTCCCTTCACCGTCTGGCCCGCCATCCAACCCAACGCCGGCCACCCCGTCCTCGAACGCGGCGGATTTGCTCTCAACGCCCGCACCCACCGCTCCTTCCCAGCACCAACCACCCACTGGTCCGGCCGCATATGGGCCCGTACAGGCTGCATCCACCGCAGCGGCCGTTTCACCTGCGCCACCGGCGACTGCGGTGGTAAACTCGAGTGCAACGGTCTCGGCGGCGCAACACCCGCCACCTTAGCTCAGTTCACACTCCACCACGGCCACAACGACCAGTCCTCCTACTCCGTCAGCCTCGTCGACGGCTTCAACGTCCCCATGACCGTCACCCCCCACGAAGGCAAAGGCACGTGTCCGGTAGTCGGTTGTAAAGCGGATCTGCTCGCCACCTGCCCATGGTCGCTGCAGAAACACTCCGACGGCCGCGTGGTGGCCTGCAAAAGCGGCTGCGAAGCCTTTAACACCGACGAGTTCTGCTGCCGTGGACATTTCAACAGTGCGCAAACGTGTAAACTGTCAAAGTGGTCGGCTTTCTTCAAACACGCATGTCCGGCGACTTTTGCGTACGCCCACGACAGTCCGTCGCTAATGCACGAGTGTTCGTCGCCAAAAGAGCTGAAAGTAATCTTCTGCCATTAATGGCGATTAGGGTTTATGAAGAAACTGAATAAAAAATTGTAGAAGATGGGGTTGCGTGTTTTAGATGTAGTTGTTGTCTGTGTAATGTTAGTACTCGGAGTTGGAACTGTAATGAATGTTATTTATGGGAATCTTTCTGTTCCTATTATATTAAAAAAAGTAGAAAAAGGTTCTTGAAGATTATGAAAATAACACAAGAATCGAAAACGTTTATCCACCATTGATTTTGACATGAAGAAGACAAGAGTGACTTGATCCGTCCCACCATCGTACGTTTCCCGCTCCTTATAAACTAATGCACAGTCATCTTTATTCACGGTAGGAATTGTTTATTTACTTCTTAATAATTTTATTAAGAGACAACTTTTAAATCGTTAAGAATTAAATTTTGTTTGGTAAAAAAATCTGCAAACTCTGAATGATTTTATATCATGCGCTTTTTTTAACCATTAAATGCCTTAATTTCATTATAAACAATTAACAAATAATTATATTTTATTTTACAAAGAGTTTTTTAATCATTTTGATAGCTCAATTATTTTGCACCAAACCATTCTAGTTGTAAAAACTAATTTGCATCAAAACTTTATTTTGGTGATGTCTTATAGATAGAAAAATCTAATGACGTTTTCCATTTTAAAATTAATGATTAGGTCACTATTTTTTTTAAATCATTTTTCCAACTTTTTTTAAAATTTGTTACCTACTTCCTTTTAACTCTAAAAAGTTATTTCTAATTGGTTATAAATATTTTAAAGTAAATAAAAAAAATCTTAAATCGGTTTTAGGTGTCGTTTACCAAACGCTTATCCAGGTAAGTGTTTACCAACTGACTTTACTTTACCGGATGAATATGGTAAGAACTAAAAATTTTATCCGGTAAGAGCGAAAGCAAGAATTGAGAGTTTTACCTGGTAAGAGAGGACGGAGAGTCTTACCATGGTTAGCGCTTTCCGGGATAAATTATTGCATACGATACGTTTTAGTGAATAAAATTTTATCCGGTAAGTAAGAGATAATGTTGAATTTTACCGGTAAGTGCTTACTGGGTAAGTGTTTAGATAAACGGTTCCTTACTCTTTTTTTTTTTTCTTTCAAATCATACACTATTCAACCCCTCCTATAATGACATCGCTCATTGTTGTCTGTACTCTATACAAGCCCATCCTCTGCCATCAATATCCCTCCTTTTTATTTGGCATTTTGTCTTTTGATTCTCTATACTTATAACAATTTAACCGAGTATGTATTGAAGATAAGAAAAGATGGAGAACCAAAAAACAAAAAGATCAAAAAGGAGATCCATGATAAGGCTCAACGATGACAGATAAATAATAGAGAACGGAGGACGATGAGGTGGCAAGGATGTTCACGAATGATGTATGTTTAACTTCAATGTGTTTTTAAATATAAACTAGGTACCCATTACTTACAGGTGTTATATCTCAGATATAAAAACAAAGCTTTAAAGTTAGATTACAAAAAATAAACTACCTTATATCAATTTGTTTAATTAAATTTAAACGTGAAATTTTAAAATACAAATCTATATTTTAAAGGATTATATATTAATTAAAATACTCAATAACTTATTTTTTAAAGAAAATATCAAATATTCATATGAGAACAATAATAAAATAAGATAATAAAAAAAAAACGGTTGAATCACATGTGATTTTAATATAAAATCACATGTGATTCGTGCGACTTTGACCATGTTACACACACGATTCCATTGATCGTTAGTATAAAATTCATATATGATTTAACAGTTTTTATGCTCTTTTATTTAATTATTATTTTTGTTTTTTTTTTACGATGTGTACGTGACAACAATATTTTGGGCGTGTTTTGTTAAAGTGATCACGTGATTGTCCAAAGGAATCTGGGGTCAGTGGATTCGACTGGACTGTAACAAAAAAATCTGCCAAACCATTTTTTCTTTCATTAATGTTTGAAACCCATAAATACCATAACACACTTTATAAATAAATCTTGTTATCAAATCAGTCCCCTTTTAATTGTTTTTCCCGATTAACCTAGATATCTAACCTGTTATGCGAATCGATTAATCTCAGGATAATCACCAGTATCACCGTATTTGAATCTCTGTGACTACAAGAATATTTTTTTATTCCTCGTTGGATTCGAACCTGGGATCTTCAGACACTTTTGAACTTTGGAGTCCAAACTTAAACCAATCGGCATCATCCTTGTAGTTCGCTTTTAAAATATTTGTTGTCATTTAAAATAAATTATATTCAAATCATGATGAAATTATGTGATCTCAATTTTTTGGTGCCATCGTAACTATTTATTTACCATAAAAATATTTAATATATTTAATTTACGTTTTTATATTAATTTTGACATGTTCTTTATTTTATCTTCAGAAAATATAATTTCAAAATCAATATTTTTAGGTCTATATTATTAAAATACATATTCTACTTTCAAAAATAAATAAATAAAAAACTTTATTTAAATCTTACAAGATGTGTTCATTTTTTTCCATTGACAGATGGTACAAATTTTATCTAAACTCGAACCATATTAAGAGGTTCATTTGATGTTAGAAATTACTGAAAAAACAAGATATTTTTTTACAGGATCAGAAAATAAATGGTTAATCTGTTGTGGATAATTATGTATTTACAAAATATTGTCTCAAATAACGATATTTCAATCATATTCGAGATGTGATATGGTTCCGAAGAATTTGTGGCATATCAAGCCTTGTAAAAGTTCTTCGCTTTGCATCAAACATGCCTCATTCTCGAGTTAAGTCGATCCCAATGGAGCAATAGGTTATTCGAGCTCGGTTTGAAAAAGAATACTAGACTCAAGCTTGAATAACTTTTTCAACGTAAGCCTCGAGTTCGAGCTAGATGCTCGTTTATCGAACTCGTGATTAATTAATTCGTTTATGGACTCAAGGTTGATATATTTATTGTATGATTTATTAACATATGAGCATGTCTCACTCAAAAAAGTATACGCTTGAATGGCTCAGCTCGACTCTACTCGAAATTTTTTATCGAGTTTTCAAATGAGCCGAGTCGAACATTGGTGCCATGGAGCTCAATTCGTTAAGTTAAACGAGTATTATTTTTCTTTCGAGATTGACTTGAGCTCGAGAATTATTAAACTCGAGCTCGAATAGCACGTTAAAAGCTCGACCAATTTACACCCATATGCTTAACCGCTTGTGTACGTAGGCCCCATCAATTCCTATTAATTTATCTGACGAATTAGAACCATCTATATCAAGATGACGAACGCATTCTTTGTACTATCAAATCACACATTTATATTCCACAAATAGATAAACAAAGATATTCCAAGACCTTTTATGGGTTACTCAACATATGTAGCCTATATCCATTTATGCATTTATAGCAAAAGACTTTGACTGCTCAAGCTATGGTATATTTTCATATGAAGCAGGATTCATCATGACACACTACTAAAAATGGGATTTTTTTGACGCCAATATCCCTCGGAGATCCGTTGGAAAAACAAGTTTCAGTCGGATTTCCGAGGGATATCTCTGTTGAAAAAATCTATGGCGCTAAATGTAATTTCCGGCGGAGTTTCTTACAGATATGTATTTTCTGGCGGAAAAAACCCGTAGAAATCCGTCGAACAGTTTTGTAATATGTTATAACTTTTCCGAGTTAATTAGAAGCTTTAGAAAATGTGATTAGGGTTGCCGATGGAATTTCCGTCGGAAATCCGTTTTGTAATTTGATTTTTTTTTAACTTTTATTCAAAATAATAACCGGTTTTATTTTCAAAAATAAAAATACAAACTTCTGACGGATTTCTGTCGGTAATGATATTTAAAAAAAGATGTTCTCTTTTTTAAAATATGAATTTTTTTATTATTTTTAATAAATGAAAATATTTATCGATGGATATTCCGTCAGAAATCCTTCGGACAATCCGCCAGAAAATTTAATTTTGATAATAAAACTTAAATTTAATTATTTACCGACGGATTCTCTGCCAGAAATCTGTAAGAAATGTAGATGTTATAAGGAAAAAAACCAAAAAACATGTTAATCTAAAATCCTAAAATATAAAGATCCTGTAAATTAAATACAAATATACAATCTAAAAATCCGTCATAAATACCTAATATGATTATCCGGACGAAATAATATTCAAATACAAATTCTTCAACAAAATTTAAGTACGATTGTGGACACTAGTTCATAAATACAATATATCAAATCTATTGCGGGCGGGTTAACGGAAAATGTTGAGATTGTGTAAACCTCTTCACCATACCCATCATGTCTGCATGCTCTTTCTTCCGGATCTCTTCTAGGTGGAGAATTTCATCGACCTCCTTCTGTCGCATCTGATCTCAAGTGCACATTTCTTGAATTTGGGACTTTTTAGTCGTTAGTTAATTACAAATACAATAAAACGTTAAAATTTTCAATAAGAAGTATAAATGAAATAGATAAATATCAAAGGATAAAGAGGTACGCTATGACTATCTACAGAAGACGATCCACTCGAGTTTGCTTATGAGGATGTCCCAGTTAATACAAATTGGGATCTCGATTTTACCCGAACCCAAATAGACGACCTTTCTTGGCTCCCCCGACTGTCTCATTCCACAAGTCGGTTTCAACTAGGGGATAGGCCGAGGGATCCTTACCATACTTTTCGGTGAGATTGTTTGAATAGGTATCATGTGCTTTAAAAAAAATACTACACAGTCAATTTCGACAGCATAACGACTGTAAATGAGACGTTTTCAACTAAAACAATTCAAATGTTTATCCAACAAATGGCAACCCAAACTATATATATATATATATATATATATAGTTTGTTTCAAATACAACTCATCGCATTTGTACAACCAATGCAACCCAATATATTGAGATATTTGTGAAAATGATAAGAGTTCATTTATTATGATTTGAATATTTATGGAAGATTAATATGGTTCATTAATTATGATCGATACTTTATATTAGGAAACAATAAAAACTTTTATGAAATCACATACTAATCAAATAAAATGGACGGTTGAGATTTAGTTGTATTGGTTGCACAAATGTCAAGGGTTGTATAATAACCAACCTCTATGTATGTATGTATGTATGTATGTATGTATGTATGTATGTATGTATGTATGTATGTATGTATGTATGTATGTATGTATGTATGTATGTATGTATGCATGCATGTATGTATGTATGTATGTATGTATGTATGTATGCATGCATGCATGCATGCATTCTAACTTAACAATCTTAATGTTTGCCCTACAAATGTCAACCTAAACTATATATATACACACACACATGCACATACACACTAACACTTTAACTTAAATAATCCTAATGTTTGTCCTACAAATGTCAACCCAAACTATATACACACACATGCACACACACGCACACACACTAACATTTTAAATTAAATAATTCTAATGTTTGCCCTACAAACGTCAACCCAAACTATATACACACTCACGCACACACACTAACTAACATTTTAACTTAAACAATTATAACGTTTCCCCAACATACGACAACCCAATATAGAGTTTAAAGTTATATATATATATATATATATATGTATTGTAAACTTACCGAAAACCCGACTACACCTTGAAGTCACGTACTCCTCTCGTTATCCGCTATCCGAAGATGTGAGTACATGGTCTAAATCTATACCTATTATAAGTACATGGTCTAAATCTATACCTATGTAAGTACAGGGTCTAAATCTATACCTATTGTAGGTACAAGGTCTAAATCTATACCTAAGTTGTAACTATTCTAATTATAAGGAGTCGATTTGTAACTACTGTAAGTGCATGAACCAAATATATTACTCTTTATGACTTTAGGGACCTAAGCTGTAATTATTATAACTACAGGGATCTAATCTGTAAATATCCTAAATGCAGGGAAATAACCTATAAATATTCTAAATACAGGGACCTAATCTATAACTACTTTAAGCGGTATGCTAATTCTGTAAGTACACTAACCATAGAGACCTAATCTGTAATTACCTTAAGTGCAAGGACCAAAATGAAACTTTTTTCCCAGTGGACCAAGAACATGTCCGTAAGTTCGCAGTTGGTCCATCCAGAATATTTTTTCATTTTCGTAAGAAAACACTCACTCTCATATAAAAAATCGTACGGTAAACCTATAGAGACGAGGTTTTCATATAAGAATAATGAGGGAAAGTGGTTGGTTCTTATCATAATTGCATACCTATAGAGACGAGGTTTTTTTTTTTTATTAAAAAACGGCTACATCCCAATGTAAGATTCGATTAGAGTTTAACCCCGGCACGACACATGTAGGTCTACAAAACAACAGGTCCTTAATTGCGGACGTTGGTTGAAAGTGTACAGGTCCTTAATTGCGGACGTTGGTTGAAAGTGTAATTTTTGAACTCCAGGGGGCAGGTTGCAATTGTGGACCCATAATATTGCAGACAGGGCCAGATATATAAAAAGATTTTGTTGTTTAGCTTGGTCCACAAGTGTATCTTGAACCTATGGCTATTTTGGTAATTTAAAAGAGAAGATGGCTGAAAATGACTACTTTAATTAATTTCTCCAAAAGGAAAATCCATCGTCTTTGGCGTCACAAATCAACCTTCCGACACTCCACACAAACATCCGTCTCTGACACCCTACACTACCCTTCATTTTTATTCTGAACCGATCCCAAAAACGAAGGTTGAAAAATCAGGGTGTAAAAACATATTCGTATATTCAATTTCACATTGGTTTTGTACATGACAGAAGCACGCTCATTGATGGATACACTAATTTCACAATCTTCCACACCCATAATGTACAAGAATCGGTGCATTTCATCTTCATCAATATTGTAATGGAACAAAAGGTCGATTTTCATACGTTCAATTTTGTAACATCTTTTTATTTTCAATCAAAGTTCTGGAGATGTAACTTGATTGTTACTATGTCAATTTTTATAAGTTGTCACAAATTTTGAATATTTGATTTGTAGATAGGATTCAATAAATTAACTAATAATAAATTGGAAACAAAGACAACCAGGGACTGTTTACCAAACACTTATCCGGTAAGTGTTCACGGATAAAATTTAACACTATTAGTTGCTTACCGGGTAAGATTTTAGTCCAACAATTTACCATGTAAACGCTTACCATGTTAAGAGCCATCATCCATACTTACCAGGTAAGACTCTTGGGGGTTGTTTACCAAATTTTTTATTAAGTCCTATATGGATAAATTTGTTTGTCTGTATAAATTTGTCTGTTTGGATAAATGGGTGATGTTGTTTACTTTTTCATCCGAACCAACAGTCTAAATAACATAAATGACCGATTTACCTCCCAAAATTAATTATTTGAACATCAAAACAAAAAAAATATATAAAGAGGCCGAAAATGGGGTGTCTCATATGAGAGAAGGAGGAGATGCTTTAAATAAAAAGTAGGGATGTCATTGTTATGGCTGAACGAAGACAAAACACCATTTCTGTCTACGCGATTAAGCCATGTTCTATGCGAATAAGTCGTAAGTAAACAACCCAAATGAACTGTGCAAATAAGCTAGATAGACCAATAAGCCTAATTAAGCCGCAAGTAAACAGCCCCTTGGTCCTTGTCTCGTTCTTACTAAGTAAGATTCTTGGTCTTTACCATATCATACGGTGATGTAATCTTTCTTAGTCAATGGTTACCCAAGTAAGCAGTGGCAGATCCAGAAACTTATATTATTAGGGGCACATTTAAGAGTGTCAAAACAAATTTTGAAACCAATAACTCATTCGAACCAATACGATTTCGGGTTATTTGGTTTCCGGATTAAACGGTTCCGTTATCGAATAAATATAACTTATTCGGTTTAGTTTTCAATTAATTTTTGACTATTTTGGATAAACCGAGATATCATATTCCCATGTACATATTTTACTTTTCGGTTAAACAAAAGCAAATGAACACACTACACATTAATAGTTAGTAGCAAAAAATTAGAGAACAAGAGGTCCATAACTTAGATTCAGTTAAAAAGAAATCAGATAACAAAAAACTAAGAAATCAAAAATAAAAGATAAACTAGTAGCAAACCTTAAATCAAAATAACAAATTAAAGAATCCTAAGTCAAATAACAATTAAGAAAGAGAAAATTAATAATTAACAAATAACAATAATTATAAATCTATAAAACAATAAAATACAAAAAGAAAGTTGAAAAAAATAAAAATAGTGATTAATCAAATCATTAGCATTATAACAAACAAAATAAGAAAAATAAAATAATCTTCAACAGATTGAGACTTAAAACTTAAGGGCATTTAATTGATCCTTAAAATAATAACTCAATGAAGTAAAAGTTATAAATGAAACACATAAATTTAGATTTAGAGCCTTACCTTTAATTGTTGAGGCCTATTAAGAATTTTTGGTTAATTTTTTTTAAAACCTACCATTATGCTCTATTTTTGTGCTTGTTGGGATTAGTTTGTTGGGGGCCTGTGCCCCCTACAAGTATAGCGTGCATCCGCCGGTGCAAGTAAGCGCTTGGTAAAGCGCCCGTTATACATAATAATAATTATGTTGTCTTAAAGACACGTTGTAAACAACGTCATGGCTTCATCGTGACACGTCGTCACGTCACGCTGCACCTTCCCCTCACGTCGTTTAGAACGTCGATTAAAAATGGGCGACAACAGTATTAAGAAAATAAGAAACGCATATGACCTTTCAATATAATAGCACCCAAAAAAAACAAACATAATTACAGATCTACAAAGTTACTTAACAAAATTCATGCATAACAATTAACAAACCCTCACATTCAACGTGGCTTTACGTAACTTCCCATCCTCACCACGATCCCATCGATATCACGAACATACCCAACCTTCTGTCCCCACTCTTTCTCCTCCGGCTGGCACACCGCCTCCGCCCCATTCTCCACCGCCCTCTGCAATTCCATCCAACAAATCAAACATACAGATCCATAGTATCGTCATTGATTATATAAATCTAATTCTTCCGTTGAACAAACAATATATCAAACACCTTGAATGCAGCATCAACGTCTGCATAAGCAAAGCAGACCTCAAGTTGATTCCTTCTTTTTTTTACTAGCTCCTGAACCTCGCCGGTCAGATCGTCGGTTTCATGTTGATGTAACGGCGTAAATGCTATTGTTGTCGGTCCACTTTGTAGTTCGCCCCATCTATATACCACCAGCTTTCAATTCCGACTTCGATCTTATATATCGGTTTGTTTTCGAAGGTTTTGATTTGATATCGTACGAGATTTAGACAGAACATTAATCATGCATAAGAATCGAGAAATTATAAGATCGATTATTTACCTGTGAGAATCGTCTAATCGACGAACGGTGTAACCGAACGCCTTACCGTAAAACTCGACGGATTTCGCCACATCCTTCACGTAGACCACCGTGTATGCGTACTCCGGGTTCAGATTTGATGCCATTTTGATCGAATTTCGAGTTTTTGTATTTTTTTTCTTGATTTGTTGTATTTTACGTCCAATTTATAGAGAGATCGATAGAAGGAGAGACGGAAATAAGGAATTAATGAGACGGATCGCCGGATCGGTAGTGATGACGTGCCGGAACGACACGTGGAGAACTTCTAGACTTGCTGTGTGTACACGTGGCAGTCTATCACCGTGATTTCTAGTGACTGGTGAGTTGTCCTCGTTACTGGGCCAATGGGCCGTTAGCCATAAGATCGTCACCAGGGAGGCCCATGATTTATGAACTGGGCCAGCAGCTACGCTAAATTTGAATTAATTACTTACAACTTACAAGATATTTAATAAATTAATTTGAGTAAATTACATGTTTAGTCCAATAGATATATATATTTGTAATGGTGCTTGTCCTTTTTAAAAAATTATACGAATCGTGTTTTCGTAGTTACATTTTTAAACGTCTGTCACGAACATCTGTTATCTCTAACTGTTAAAAAAAATGAACGAATGAATGACTAATGAAGATATTCACAAGAGAATCTGATGCTTATGATGGTGAACAATGTAATCAAGGTCATTGGTTTCTTTTAGTTGATCGTGTTTCATTTTTAAAGTTCTTAAACTTAATATGTTTGTATTCTTTAAGGAATTAACATTAAAGCTTTAACATACATTTTAGCCCCTCTCGGTACAATTTAGCATTGCACAAGTAACCATCTGATTGAGGAAGGAAAATTTGGTCATAACTTGGATCACTTATTGTTGTTTGCTCAACAAACCCAAGTTGTATATGAGTGTATTGACCATAACTAGAAGCCAAACCTGATTATTCATATAGATGTATCATCATATCAGCTTTGTGGTAAGCTGAGTTGTACCATATCGTCTATATGGATGTTGGGCAGGTCTTGGTTAGCTTCACAATAGCCATTACCATAACACTAAGGTGGACTCTAGGTATTGTATATGCAATTATTTAGTAATAAAAAAGAAAGCCTTCTCCTTTATATTAAACGAAAATGCAGGGGAAGAGTATATATAGATCCTTGGATATTCAATTAACAACACACCCCTTCTTTCAAATTTAAGAAACTTGTTTTAACTGTTCCTTTTACTTTGTGAAGTTTTCTTTTGACAGTTCTAACTACGTTTTTGGTGATGGTAAAGACGTAAAAATTTACATTGCAATATTTAAATGAGAAGTTGTATTTATACAAATCTATAAAATTTTTAATTGTTGTTTCTTAGATTTAGATGATGCTTTAACAGAAGAGTCGGATAACAATGATGTCAGTTCACCATATCAATCAAGAACCTGGACACCAAATGTAGGGGATATGTTTAAGCCAATTGTTGGAACAAAGTTTGGAAATTTGAAAGATGCATTTGAGGCTTACAAAAAGTATTCTTCAGCAGCAGATTTTGATGTTAGAAAGTCTACACAGAGAAATGATAGGAAAGGCATGGTGCAAAGAAAGTCATTTGTTTGTAGCAAAGAAGGTATAAAGAAGAGAGCATCATATAATACCTTGGAAGGAATTTCCAAGAAAGACAAATGGTTATAAATAGATCAAGATTTAGGAATGAAAGCAGTAATAGAAGTTGTTTTCGAGAGTGCAAATCATCGACTTTGTATGTGGCATATAATGAATAAACTTCCTTCAACGGTATGCACTTAAGTTTGACCCGTGTGTAGTTTAACACTCTATTTACACTTAACTTCATGCAAATTACATAAATCTTCATAACAAACTTACTTTGTAGTTCCAATATTGTAAGTCAAGTTGCTATCAATTAAATTTGAATTAAGTTTTGTTGATCTCAGATTCAAGTCTATAACATGATTAGATCAAGATCAAGAACATTGAAAATGATTCAAGTATGATGGCAAGTGTATTGGTGTAGAGATCAAAGTACAAAGTGTTCTTGAGCTCTCAAATGTCTACGCATTTGAACTTTCGTGCCCACAAGGGGATTTTTATTCTTCCTTGGATTTGAACATGAGACCTACTGGTACATTTAACATTTGGAGTCAATCTCAAACCAATCAGGCACCACCTTTGTGGTTAAACCTTTTTTTATTATGCCTCATATATTTTCTCTGTATGTCATTTTATATTTTCATCTATATTTTTATCAAACGTGATTAGTTTCTCAACTAAGAACTAGTTTATCAATTAATAATTAACTTATCAACCAATTTATCAAATATAAACAAACAACATACTTAAAAACATATACAACAGATTCTCTAAAATGAAGAATATGATTATTTTGAGCAATTTTTTGTTGCAACAGAACATGAAACTGTACAAATTTAGCGAACTTTCTAGAAATGATTATTATGAAAAATGTTTTTTATTGTTTTCACATCAATAAATATTAAATGCTTTTGATAGTGAAATAATATTTTATTAAATTATATAATATTTTTAATAATATAATTAATATTATAATTTTAATAATCTATACTAAATTATAAAGTATTTGACAAAAAAATTCTTAAAAACCATTTTTTATGCACAAAGTACTGTTTATTGATGCATATTACTTAAAATTTAAGATTACAAGTAAATTGCGCATAAGTACAACTTATTAGAGTTCCATATTTGAATTTGTGTAACTAATTGCAGATAAACATAATCAAATACTAGATAAACATCCCATTTTAAATATACAAAATCTAAAATATAATTAAAATAATCATTGAGTTCTAACAGAATACTTAATTATTATCTTATAAAAAATATTATTAAATCTAAATTAAATTTCTTTGTTACTAAACGTAAATTAAATTATAATTAAAAAATGAATTAAGAAAATTACACAAAAACACAAGAATTTAAAAAAAAATTAATTTGATACTGATATCGATATATTTTTTTTCAAATTTTTATGATATTTTCAAATTTATATTTTAGTCAAAAATAAAAACATTATCGTTTTCTCAAAACCAAATAAAATTGTATTATATCGACATAAAAAATAAATAAAACGAAACACTGAAATTAAGATATATCTCGATGTATTGCTCGAATACCCCCTTCTAGTAATAATAAAATGTTTGAGTTGGATATACTTTTTTTAAAAGATTTTGAATTTTTTATTTTTTCAGTTTAAAGAAATTTAAAGAATTTGTAAAAAAATTATACGTATAATTTTTATGTATAAAATAATTGTGAAAATGCTGAGTGGATATGTTTGTGGTTAACAAGGACTTCAGCATCCACATCGGCATTGGCCATTGGCGTGTCATGCCACCCACAAAACAACCGTGGGACCCACCATCACCATGCACAGACGTGGAGAATTGTGTGTGACCTTTCAGATTCTCAATACATACTACACCTTTTTCCTCCTACCCTATTTTAACTCAAGTTTAGAGTAAATTACATATTTGATATACTTCTCGTTCATTATCAATTTTAGTTTTTATTTATCTTACCTTATAAATCAGATTTATTAAAAGTCTTAAAATAATTTTTAATGTACAAAGTACTATATATTTATGCACAAAGTTTTAAAAACAACTCATAATGCTTCAAGTACTACTACTTTATGCATTCAGTCTTAAAATCTCTTAATATACAATTAAAAAGACATACAATACAAGTTTATGCACACTATTGTCATTGTTTTTCATGTTCCTAAGATACTTTTGACACATTTCACTCATGTATTTACCCTCTCACACCTCTATGTCTTCTCCTCATCCCCAAGGTGATATTCAAAATGATATTCACCATGAGTTATTAAAAGTTTTTTTCATTCATATCTCATTCAATTGCTCTAGAACTCTCGGTCTCGCTCTCGATCTTTTGATTCTTTACTCTTGGTGTAAAGCAAACACATTTGTTGAGTCGTTTAAAAATGTTGGATTTTAAATATATTGGATTTTAAACTGTCATACAATTTTTTTCATCGATAGACTGTAATTGAAACCATAACTTTTATTTATTCAAATCGTATTAATATGTTTGTGGATATGTTTGTGGTTAACAAGGACTTCTAGCATACAACATTGAAGGCATATGTACAGTTTGGATTGCATTTAAAGAAATATAATAATTAAAACTCACCGCCCCTTTTTCCTCCCCCACCACGCACTACTCGGGCAGTCACTCACCATCGCCCTTCCTCCTCCTTTATGTTTATCTTCTCGGACGACCCCTGCATCTTAACTCATTGCAATCCTTAGATACCGTTTAAAGGTTTGAAGCTTTTAATCCATGGATGTAACTTAGGAATACAAACCACACACAGAGTTTTTCTGTCATGCTTGAAGAACATCTTTGTCATCCTCGCTTCTCACCTTTAAATCAATCATTTTGTTTTCAAGATTTTGTTTTGTCGTTATTTTTTGTTTGATTTTGATTTATGTTCATCAAAATTTAGTGGCTTGAAATATGGACTTTCGAGTATGGAATCATAGAGTTCTTGAGATTATCGGTGAGTGGCCACCACCACCTGAAGCAACAAACCACACATAGGGGCGGGCCTACATGGAAATGAAGGGCATGAAAGGTACATGTAAGGGCCCTAAGGGTGCATTTGGTACGTTGGACAGGGTGGGACAGGACAGGACATAACATAATTGTCCTATGTTTGGTGTGGTTTTATGTGGGACTAACTAGAACAAACTAGAACAAGGGTGGGACAAGGTTGTCCACCATTTACCCATGGAACTAAGTAGAACAAGAAACTTTTTACCACTTTACCCTCAAAAACCTCATACGCATACCTTCCTTCTTCCCCTTCACTCTCCTCTCCTCTCCTCCATCGCTTCCACCGCTCAACCGGTGACCGGTGGCGGCGACTTCCGATGGCCGCCGCTGCTGCTTCTCCGATGGCCACTGCTGCTGCTTCTCTGATGGCCGCCGCTGCTTCTCCCGATGGCCGCCGCTGCTGCTTCTCCCGATGGCCGCTGCTGCTTCTTCCGATGGCCGCTGCTGCTTCTTACAGCAACTACATCACGAATTTGAAGAAACTCTTCAAATACCTTTCTTCT